AGGGGCCCCTAATAAGTACCAAGTGTTGTAGCCCCCACTCCTCTGCGCCTGCCTTTCTTTCCTTTTTTTTGGCGGCAGGACGGGGCGGGGGGGGGGTTGGTTGACACAGGGTTTCTCTATGTAACAGCCATGTCTGTTCTGGAACTTGCTTTATAGACCAGGCTGGTCTCAAAATCATAGGTCCATCTGGCTCTGTCTCCCAAGTGTTGGGATTAAAGGTATGAGACACCACTGCCTGGCTCAAGTGTTGCGTTTTAAAAGGCCTTCCCTGGTGACTCTAACCTTCAATACATGATTCTGAACCACTGCACAATTGAGAACAATAAAGAAATAAGAGAGCCATGCTAGAGGCACCAGAAATCGCTGAGTTTTCACAACTTAACTTGGCAACAATTCCTGATAATCCAAAGCTAAACATTTCTGTATTCAACAAAACATTAAGTGGATATGAGTAAGTGTAACGTTCTCTTTCCACACATTTCTGCAGCTGTAACTGATAAAGGCCTGAATATACAGTTCAGTGGAGGAAGAATCAAATCTTTAGACTGGAAAAGCCCAATGCAATGCAGTAAATATACCCTGGCATACAGATTTTCTTAAAGCCATTGTTTTGTCCAGTCCAAACAAACAAGGGAATGAGAAGAGGAGGACTTTTTCACTACCGATTCTGAGCAAAACTGGAACACAGCTATCTCGATGGCTAGAAGACAAGAACAGAAAGGAGGCAGAATGATATAAAGTACTGACCTGGAAAACTAGTGATAATCACCCCCACCCTTTTTCTACTGTCTTTGTTGAAGTCTTCTCAATATATCAGAAAAAACTAACAACCTAGAGCAGGCTTCTGTTTCCACGGGCAGATTTGAGCCAATTTTTCAGACTCCTGTGCCAGGTTCCCAGGAAAGAACGCAAATGACGGCTAGATGTCAGGAATAATCGAAAATGAACAAAATCACCAATTCCCTCAGAGCCCAGGGCTCCAAGGCCTGGCTGACACCCAAGCTCCTTGGTAGGCTTAGCCACTGGCGGACTGTGGGACCCTGGTCCCTGAGTGGTGAAGTGGTGTGGCAGTCAAGGACAGAGAGGCAGGCAAGGAGGCTCCATGCCAGAAAGGCCGTTCAGTAAACAAACTAGCATGTCTAACTCCAAAAACACTCAACATCATACTTTTGCATCTGTTGTTTATTATTTTCCTACTCTGCTACCAATTAGAGGTTCCAAGCAAGGTTTAACAGTCCAAGGAACAAAAGTTAAAGATGAAGCTGGTAGCACCTGTTAACCTCAGAGAACCAACGTGCTAAAAAAAGCTGTACAACATTCCACTGCAGGCCAGGGATGCCACCCTAAGTCTAGAGTCAGTAGTCCACATGCCTAACACCTCAGTTATGCATCCAGTATGTGGTAGGATCAGAGAAACTAAGTTTCCCCATCTCTCTTGCTGAGGTATTCCACCTAAGATCTCTTTAAATACACCAGCTTACCCTGTCTTCCACAACCCTGTATCTGCCCTCTTTGTGATCTTCCTAAATGTTCTGAAAGTGGACAGATTGTTGTATCACATTCACAAGACCTTAATACTGAAGAATTAGAGGCTTTGCCCTTTATGATCTGGAACAAGCAAGGATGTCCTCTAAATTGTGCTGAAGTCCTAACTAATCTAATTACAAAAGAAAACAAAACAAAGGTACGACTGGGAGGAAGTAACTAAAACTTTCTTTGCAGATGCCATGATTACTTCCCTAGAGGATAGCAAAGAATCAACAAAAAATATTCTAGAGCTAAAAGCAAAGTTGCAGATGCAAGGTGTTTACAGATAATGTGACACAGAAAACATGTGAAAATAGCTGTTTTCTTATATACCAACAAACTGAGATTTGAAATTACAAGCACTCAACTGTATCTTCCATACTGTGCTACTGTGATTATGTCTGTGACCTCTTCTTTCCAAGCTGATATGAAGTGACGGTATCAAGTGAGGGACCTAGCAGGCTGGAAGGTCCTAAAGTGTTTGAAGCTTAAAATAATCACAAAAGGCTAGGCCCTACACATGCACATGTAGGAAAAGGAGGTCTAGATAGACAAGCCAAATGTTCTGTTTTGTTTTTTAAGATTTATTTATTATGTATACACGCGCCAGAAGAGGGCATCAGATCTCATGATAGATGGTTTGTGAGCCACCAAGTGATTGCTGGGAATTGAGTGCTCTTAACTTTTGAGTCATCTCTCCAGTACCCCCAGTTCTGTTCTTTCTACTTTAGGAATATGAGTGTTTGACTTGCTATGTCTGTGCATCACTTTACAGCCAGGCAGGTGCCTGTGGAAGCCAAGAGGGCATTGGTCTCCTGAAACTAGAGTTATAGGCAGTTTTAAGCTGTCATGTGGATTCTAGGAATTGAACAAGGGTTCAATCATTGAATTATCTCTCTAGCCCCATCTACAATCCTTTCAGAGAGAGAGAGAGAGAGAGAGAGAGAGAGAGAGAAATCTGGATGAAAGCGCACGTAGGCAGAACGTTGGGTTTCCAAACTCAGCTACTATTCCCACCTCCTCAAGTTCATTCACACAACTGCAATTTATTTTGTAATGTTCTAGCCACAGGCAGAACTCTCAAGTAAGAACCCATGTTTAAAGACACATGGAAAAGTAATATAGTTCCATGGTTCTTTTGGTGATACCGGATGAGTGGATTCTGGGGTATAATGTTCCTCCCTGGGCAAAACCAGAGTAGTCACTCAGTACCCATCACTTAGGGGAGCATAAAATGATATTCGAGCACTATCTTACAGTAAGTGGTCATCTGCTTTGCATCTTACCTAAGTAAGCCATTTCAAGGTTTATAGCAAAATGAATGAGATACTAAAGAGATGACTCAGCATTTAAGAGTGCATGTTATTCTTTCAGAGGACCAAGTTCAGTTCCCAGCACGAACATCAGATAGCTTACAACTACCATGGCCAACTGCAAGGTCAGGAAATCTGACGCCTTCTGCCCTCGAGGACACTGCACTCACGTGCACATACTCTTACCCACAGTTACATAATTTTTAAAATAATAAATCTTTTTAAAAAACTAAATGTATTACTAAAAACCTAAATATGTTACTAAAAACCCTTGCAAAATGTAGCCTCTAGATAGGAGGAATGACTTGGGAGATTATTTTTAAAACCCATGTGTTGGATAGTGGAACTGGATGCTTTTCCAGAGAACCTATACTTGATTCCTATCCCCTACCGGGTGCTAGATAACTGTCTGTAAATATAGTCCCAGGAGATCTGAACCCTCTTATGATCTAAGGTATTGCACACTCATAGTGCAGACATACGTGCAAGCAAAAGAGAGGGTTTCTCTGTCTAACAACTCTGGCTGTCCTGGAACTCTCTCTGTAGACCAGGCTGGCCTCAAACTCAGAGATCTGTCTGCCTCTGCCTCCTAAGTGCTGGATTAAAGGCATGCACCACCATCACTAGGTTATTAAAAATAATTTTTTTAAAGAATCTGGAAATTCTGGGAGTGGCAGCACACACCTTTAATCTAAGTAATGGGGAGGCTGAATCAGACAAAGGGTTCAAGGCCAGTACAGTCTATATAATAAGTCCTAAAATAAGACAACATAACAGAAACCTTGTCTCAAAAAAGAAAGAAAAAAGTTTGAGAGATGGTTTGGTTAAGAGCACTGGCTGTTCTTCCAGAGGACACGAGTTCAATTTCCAGCATTCACACTATAGCTCACACTGTACTCCAGTTCTAGGGAATACAAATACCTTCTGGCCTCCAGAGGAACCAGCCAGGCATATAGTACAGGCACAGATATGAAGACAAAACCCTCATACACAGAAAACAAAAATAAATTAATCTTTAAAAAGAATGTGTGGGAGCTAGGGATGTAACACTGTAGATAAGAGAATTTGCCTAGAATAGATAAAACCCCACTCACAGGCTCCAAAGCCACAGACAGAGAAACCCTGTCTCGAATAACCAAAAAGATAAAAATAAATAAATAAAAATCCCACTCGTCTATACATACAAGCACCCACAAACCCTGGTGTGATGAAATTTCAGCGATAGGTGGAAGAGGAGTTCAAGGTCAACTTGAACTATATAGTAAATTTGAGGTCAGTTTCTCTTATTTCAAAATCAAAACAAATACACACCCAAATATGGAAGAGTAGTTATCACCTGTAGACAAAAAGATGCACACATGGGGGATGGAGAGAAGGTTCAGTGTTAAGGCACTTATTACTGTTACAGGATCGGAGCTCAGTTACCAACGTCAACATGGTGGCTCAAAACAGGCTGTGATGGCAATTCCAGAGGATCCAATGTCTCCTTCTGATCTCTGAGGGCACCAGGCATATTACATACATACATACATACATACATATATATAAGAAAAGAATTCTTCTATACATTTTTTTTAAAGATTCAGAAACTTAATTGCTAGATCACAACTTACAAAAAGTTCCTGTACAAAATGATACATGTGTTTAATCACAGAGACTGAGAGGACATCAGTAAAAACAAACCTCCAAACTAGACTTAACTCTGCTCAGACTAGAAACTTCTCTAAAACAGCTTGCTGAAAATTTTGTGTTTCTGACAGAAGTCTCTATGTAAAGTAATGGTGCTGGTGACTTTAGTATTTGTGCTGAACATTTACAAAAGCAAAGACAGACACAGGAGGATGCCTATGAATTCAAGGCCATCTTGGTCTACAAAGGGAACTCTGGACAAACCAAGGTTACTTAAGAAAGAAAGACAGACAGACAGACAGACAAGAAAAGGCAAAGCAGCAATCAACACAATGTGTATGCCTGTGTGTTGAGTGTTTTGTCTGTATGCCTGGTACCCTCAGAGGTAAGAAGAGGCTGTCAAATCCCTTGGAATTGGACTTAAGAGTTGTCAGTAGCCATGTGGGCACTAGGAATCAAACCCAGGTCCTCTGGAAGAACAGCTTTCCAGCCAATACCACAATCTTAAAGTTTAATCTTAAAGAGATTAAAGTGCTTGCTTCAGTTGCACATATTTTAAAATTGGAACGATACAGAGAAGATTTATCATGGCCTTGAGCAGGATAAGATGCAAATTCATGAAGTGTTTCCTATTTTAAAAATGGAGGAGGAATGATGTGGGAGTACCCTCTGTGTGCTGTATTACCATTAAAGAATAAAGAAACTGCCTTGGTTGATAGGGCAGAACTTAGGTAGGTGGGGAGGACTGTACTGAATGTTGGGAGAAAGAAGGGAGACGCCATGGATCCAAAAGAGATAAGATGTGCTGAAACTTTGCTGGTAGGCCATGATCTCATGGTGATGCACAGATTAATAAAGATGAGTTAAATTAAGATGTGGGAGTTAGGGGGGCTGGAGAGATGGCTCAGTGGTTAAGAGCATTGCCTGCACTTCCAAAGGTCCTGAGTTCAATTCCCAGCAACCACATGGTGGCTCACAACCATCTGTAATGAGGTCTGGTGCCCTCTTCTGGCCTGCAGACATACACACAGACAGAATATTGTATACATAATAAATAAATAAATATTTTTAAAAAAAGATGTGGGAGTTGGCCATTAAGAAGCTAGAGCTAATGGGCCAAAGTGATTTAATTAATACAGTTTCTGTGCGATTATTTCGGTTCTGGGCTGCTGGGACAAACAAGTGGTTCCTTACTACAGAGGAAGAGGGGGGAGGGATGGAGGGAGGGAAGAATGGATGAATCAATTAGGGCAGACGTGTAATCCAGCACTGGGAAGCTGGAGGTCAAGCATCTAAAAAGAAAAACCACAGACTATATAATCCCTGTGTTCATACTCATGGAGAAAAAGAAGTATTCATTCCTAGTTAAGCGAAAGAGAAAAGGCAGGGAGGGGAGCAGAGAAGAATGTAGAGCTCAATAAATATCAATAAAAAATGTATTAAAGGGGCTGGAGAGATGGCTCAGAGGTTTAAGAGCACTGCCTGCTCTTCCAAAGGTCCTGAGATCAATTCCCAGTCAACCACATGGTGGCTCACAACCATCTGTAATGGGGTCTGATGCCCTCTTCTGGCCTGAGGGCAGACACACAGAAAGAATATTGTATACATAATAAATAAATATTTTTAAAAATGTATCTAAAAAAAGAGGAAGAGAAAAATCAATGCACAGCAAATTCAAAGTGCCTAATATATAGCTAACCTTTTGGGATAACTCAACTGTGTTGACAGAGCAAAAATTGCTACAAAAATATTTTTTCATATTAATACTTTCTGAAAGACTTTTGTCAAATTTTAAAGTGTTGATTAAATCTCTAGTAAAGATACTTGTGTCTTCAGAGAGATGATGAAAAATCCTAGACAGAAAAATGTTGAAATGCTAAAGAGTCAAAATTAGTAAGTAGCCCCTACAAAACATTTTCATATTCAGAGAAAAAAGCAGCACTAAATGACAAATCTGTCTACAGGACTCTGTGATCAAAATATAAAGTGTCATTAAAATAGAATGAAAAAAGATAGTATAAACCCCTATTTTTATATTTCCAAGACAAGTCACAATAGTGCTTAGAATCAAAATTGTACCCACACCTGAGCTGTCCCTTTTAACTGTAGTATGAACAGATAGTTGCTTTCCCATCACTATCGGTCAGTCTCACTCAACAAGTCCCAACATCTGCCTGATCTTTCCAGTTTTTAAAGTGAAGAAAGGGATAAGTATCTGATGGCTAATTATTACACTCCCTGTTACAACAGCCTTCATCGTAAAAGACACAGGACAAAAGACTCTAACTAACATACAGCAAGGCTAGGCACAGTGGTCATACCACTCATAGGTCTCACTACTCAGAAGCAGATCAATTTAAGGCCAACCTGGGCAAGCTAACAGGACCCTGTCCCACAAATGAAATTTATCAGAAACTCCCAGTATAGCCGGGCAGTGGTGGCGCTCGCCTTTAATCCCAGCACTCGGGAGGCAGAGGTAGGCAGATCTCTGTGACTTCGAGGTCAGCCTGGTCTACAGAGTGAGGTCCAGGACAGCCAAAGTCTACACAGGGTCTAACCCTGTCTCGAAAAACCCAAAAAGCCAAAACAAAACACCAGCACAATCAAGATCACATTAGCAAGCCATGCATAGATTCAAAGACCTTTGAATACTGTCATTCTGACATCTGATTACTTCGAGTAAAATTTTAAAAGAACTATTCATTGATTTTTCATGGTTACTACCGACCTTTCTCCAGAAAAATACTTCTCTCGTTGCCTACATCTTTAAACCTACCACACAATTTCAATCCATTCTATCCAGTCACAAAGTATTCAGAGAAGACATGTTGTGGCACGAATGTCTCTCTCTCTCCCTCTCCCTCTCCCTCTCCCTCTCTCTCTCTCTCTCTCACACACACACACACACACACACACACACACACACACACAGAGGGGGGGGGGAGAGGGAGAGAGAGGGAGGGAGAGCGCGCGTGGCCAAAGGACAATCCTCACGTCTTTCCTTAGAACCACCCACCTTGTTTTTTGTTTTTGCGAATTGATCTTTCACTAGCCTAAAGGTTGCCAAGTGAACTAAGCTGCCTAGCTGTCAAGTGCCAGATCCACTTGTCACTATATCTCAGTATCTCAATACTGAAATTACAAGGAAATGTCATCTCATCTGAAATGTTTTCCTATTTTTTTTACATGGGTTCTCAGGTCTTCGTGACTGTAAAGTACTTTCATAACTTATCTTCCTAGCTTCCCAGAAGAAAAGTCTTGTGCTTTCACTTCTAGAATGCATAGCCATGATATGAACTAAAACTGACTAAGCACATGTACCTGATGTACCTCAGAACCAATAGAGCCCCCACTAGGAAATTTGCTGAGCTTAGTTGTCACAACTGGAATTGGTAAGCAATGCATTAGGAGCAATTTTCTCAGTTAAGTGCCAACTTTCCCTGACCACCCACATGTTTAAAGAATGATCCTTGTCAGGTGGTAGTGAGACACTTTAATCCCAGCACTTGGGAGGCAGAGGCAGGTGGATCTGTGAGTTTGAGGCCAGCCTGGCCTACAGAGTGAGTTCCAGGACAGGCAGGGCTACACAGTGAAACCCTATCTAGAAAAATCAAAATAAAAAATAAATGAGTTAGTAAGTAAGTAAATAAAATCCATCTGTACTCAGACCAAGAAGCAATTACTGTCTACACCAAAGCATAGAAATCATAATGGTATTTCAACCTCATAAGAATTTTGAATAAAAGAGTATAGGACCTTGGATTTAGATACAGTCAAGCTCATTAACAAGAAAAAAGTCAGTCTAGAATCTGTATGACCCCTTTACCTATACCTCAAACTGGCACAGACTGGAAAGGCAAATCATACAACTTTTTTAAAAAGACTTTAAGTATTCTTATCAAATTAAATCATTTGGGTGGGGAATGCAGACCTGTGGAAGTCAAAACAACATTTGGGAACCATTTCTCTCCTACTATGTGGGTCTTGAGGATCAAACTCAAGTCATCAGGCTTGATGGTAAAAGCACCTTTTATAACTAGCCCTTTACAGAAAATTTTATCAACATAGAATGTAGCTAGTATCAGGAGTGTTCTTGCAAAGCACAAAGGAGAAGTTAAAAAATTCACATACATTAAAATAAGATCCTCTATCAAACAATACTCTAAAACGTGCAGAGGGGACACCAAACTCTACCCACAAAGACAATAGCGCTCGGGCTGGAGAGATGGCTCAGAGGTTAAGAGAACTGACTGCTGTTCCGGAGGTCCTGAGTTCAATTCCCAGCAACCACATGATGGCTCACAACCATCTGTAATGAGATCTGGTCCCCAGAACACTATATACATGATAAATTAAAACAAACCAACAAACACCAAAAAGGAATCAGAAACTTTCCCCTTACTTAATATGGAAATAAATTAAAAAAAAAAAAGACAATAGCGCTCATATCCAACCAATATTTTTATAATTAAAAATCACAATGATATTTTACATGTCAAAACTGGCAAAATTAATTCCATTAACCTATATTGAAAATATGAATGAACATTTAAAAACTTGGTAAGGAAACTGCTACAATTGTTTTTAAAATACTTAAGTCAGGGACTGGAAAGATGGCTCAGCAGTAAAGAAGCACTGCTCTTCCAAAGAGTCCAATTCCCAGAACCCACATGACAGCTCACAACTGTCTGTAACTCCAGTTCCGGGGGATCTGATGCCCTTATACAGACATACATGCAGGCAAAACACCAATGCATATGAAATAAAATATAAAATAAAAATAACTTGTTTTTAAAAAATACTTGGGTCACCGGGCAGTGGTGGCGCACGCCTTTAATCCCAGCACTAGGGAGGAAGAGGCAGGTGGATCTCTGTGAGTTCGAGGCCAGCCTAGTCTACAAGAGCTAGTTTCAGTACAGGCCCCAAAGCTACAGAGAAATCCTGTCTCAAAAAAACAAAAAGAAAAAAATACTTGGTCATTTTACATCAGCACCCCTGCTGACCCAGATATTCCATTCCTAAGCATCTGCTGAGAAATGTACACATATTTTACATGTAAAATGCTCATGACAACACTGCTCTCTTAAGGTGCCTGTTCTGTACTCCCAATAAAAATTCTGATTAACATGTAACATGAGGGCCAGCTTGTTGGGGTTTCTGTCCCTCCCAGTAACCCAACAAGTTGGCAAGCCCCAAAGAAAATCACACAGAGGACTCCATTAAGTTGACTGGCCCATTAGCTCAGGCTACTTATTAGCTCTTATAACTTATGTTAGCCCATTATTTTTATCTGTTAGCCAAATGGCTCAGTACCTTTCTCAGTGGGGCAGCTTACATCTTTCCTCTCCAGTGGTCTGGACAGATCTGCTGAGGGAGCTTCCTGCTTCCCAGAATACACCAGTTCTCTTTGCTCCACCTCTACTTCCTGTCTGGTTTTCCCTCCTATACTTCCTTCCTAGCCAATCAGCATTTATTTAAAATATGATTGACAGAATCAGACAATTCTCCCACACCACACACATACATGTAAAATACTTAGGATAAAGAGGAAAATGAGCAAAAGCACAGAGAAAATAAGAAGTTCAACATCTATCTTGACCACATCATGCATTCAGGCCCGTATACAGGGTCACCCTA